TTGGGCGTAGATGACATGGTGAGTACATGGTTACAAGAGAACTGGCTACAGGAACGCGTCAAGGGAGTATCTATAAATGGCTCATCTTCAGATTGGTCTGTGCTGGAGAGTGGCGTGCCTCAGGGTTCTGTGCTAGGCCCAATACTGTTTAATATGTTTATTGATGATATTTGGGAGGGTGTTAATAGCCATTTTTCTATGTTTGCAGTTGATTTGGAGGGTAATAGACACGGGATTAGACATTATAACATTACAGGAGGACCTGGATAAAATAGGGGAGTGGGTAACTATTTGACAGGTGAGGTTTAATGTTGAAAAATATATGGGGTTAAAATTTTGGGGTTAAAAATAGGCAAGCAGAATACATATTAATGGGAACTCCACTAGGGAAGTCAGAAATGGAAAAAGATTTGGGGGTCATTGTAGACCACAGATTGAATAATAGCTTGCAATGCCAGGCTGCGGCAAACAAAGCAAGCAGAGTCCTGTCTTGTATTAAAAAGGGAATGTACTGTAGGGACGAAGCAATAATTTGGCCACTTTATAGATAGCTGGTTGGGCCTCATCTGGAGTATGCGGTTCAGTTTTGGTCACCGATCCACAGAAAGGATGTCCTTGAGCTGGAGAGAGTCCAGAGAAGGACAGCTAAACTAATTAAGAGGCTGGAGGACCAAAGCTATGAGACAAGGTTACTAAATTTAAACATTTTCATGCTGCAAGTGAAGAGATTAAGAGGGGACATAATTCTGATGTACAAAATGTTTAGTGGTGATAGCAACATCATCAATAACATTTTTACTGTAAACTCCATAACAAAGACTAGAGGCCACCACCTAAAACTGGTGGAGAAAAGATTTAACCACAAAGGGCGTAGGGGATTCTTTTTAGTTAGAGCGGTTATATTTTGGAACTCTCTTCCACAAGCCGTGGTATCAGCTGAGAGTATTGATTCATTCAAAAATAATTTAGATACCTTCCTCAGGGACCGTAACATACAGGGGTACAGGTACTCTTAAAAACTAGACCACACAGGCACTCTTATCTACACATGTATGCACAGAAACACAAAGGTTGAACTTGATGGACCTGTGTCTTTATTCAACCTCTAATACTATGTAACTATGTAATTGTATTCTCTAAAGCAGGGGTGCCCACAAGGTCGATCGCGATCTACCAGTCGATCGCGTAGCGGTCACTGGTAGATCGCCATGTCCTCTCCTCCCGCCGCTTCTCTGGATCCCCGCTGCTCTCCCCAGCGGGGATCCGAGAAGAAGTGAAGGAACCGGCGGCGGGGGAGGGCGGAGGACGGAGCCGCTGACACAGAACTAATGAAGAGCGGTGAGGAGAGAGAGACGCTCGTCCAGGATCTGACAGCCGGCGCCTCTATCTCCCCTCACTGCTCGTCCGTTCTGTCACAGCGGCTCCGACACCCCCCAATCCTCTGTGCAGGACAAACACTGGAGCGATCTTCTGATCACTCCGGTGTTTGTAAATAACTGGGGACACATAGTACTATGTGTCCACAGTTATAAATGAATTATATAATTGATTTACATCACGTCCCGTTCATTCATGAGTTTCTCAATGGGGAGAAGCACTCTGTACAGAGGCTCCTCCCCATTCAGAAACTGCTTGATAGGAAATATTTTCTGAATGAATGGGAAGCCTCTGTGCTTTCCATTCATTTAGAATAGAGGCTGCAGAAAAAAAGATTGAGGACTATGTGTCCTCAATTTCTTTTTCTATTTTAAAAGGGAAATATCAGGGGGCTTTTTAGACCCCTAATATTTCCCCGAAGCCCCCCCAAGAGTAAAAAAAAATTATTATGAAAATTTAAAATAAATAAAAATAAATAATGAAAATAAAATAAAAAATAGTAAAAAATAAATTTAAAAAACTTTGTTTTTTTTCCTTGCCTCAGGCGCAAAAGGAGCTGGCTACGGCTATGCTCCCGTGGTGCTCGTGCGGCTGCCGGCTGAATGTGTCAGACGCTGCAGATGGAAAGGTGCAGGACACCCCATGTGCAACGTCGGCCACACGAGCACCACGGGAGGACAGGACGCCGGGACCTGTAGGGCGCACTGGAATGTAAGCCGGCCGACTCCCTGCGTTCAGGTGCGGGAGGGGGTGTGGAGCTGTATTGAAGTCAATGGCATCGCCCACATTGCGATCGCCCGCACTCGGAACGCAGGCACATTAGTGCCTGCATTCCGGTCCAGTGCGATCTGCAAAAATAGTGCTCGCAGCATTTTTGCGGATCGCACTGGACTGGAACACAGGCACTAATGCAGGCGATCGCACTGTGGGCGAGGGGCCTGCCTGCGGAGCCTGGCTGCGGTGCCATTGACTTCAATGCACCGCCACGCCCCCTCCCGCCCCTGAATGCAGGTGTTTTTTCGTTGGTAGATCTCAATAAGCTCGTCATTTGAAAAGTAGATCTCCAGACGAAAAATAGTGGGCGCCCCTGCTCTAAAGAGATCCTAAATTGGTTTGTTTTATTTAATTCCTTAGAACTTCCTCTTGGAAGATGCTATAGGAGAATTAAAGGAAAGGTGCACTTATCCTTTTGGCCCCTTTAAACTGACCTAATTGATCCCACCCACCCCCGACACAGATGTATACTTACCAACCCCGTTGTTTTGTTTACATCCTGTGGCAAATGTGTCACAGCACTTTCTATGTTTTAGTAAATGAATCACATTAAGAGCTCATTTACACTAGACACTGCGCTAATCGCACAGTGCCAAAGTGCTGATGCCAGCTTATGGCACTGTGTTCTTTCAGTTCTATGGGCACAGTGGGGTGGGAGGTGGTTGTACCGCATCACATCCTGCTGCTTTGAAAAAAAGTAAAGCATGCCTTACTTTTTTATAGCGCACACCACGTGTTCCTACCACAGGGCCGTGGTGTGAACGCACACCATCCGTGACGAGGCAATTTGCCTTGTCTTGCATTGAGGCTGTGTTGGAAATGGCCAACGCAGATGGTTTGAATAGACCTTTAGAATCTGTAAGTTGCCAAGTAAAAATATCCATCCATATCCCAGCAAGAACGCTACCTATCACAGTAACTGACTAGTAAAAGACTCAGGAGGCGGGTGTAGCTGGTGACCATAGGAAGTTAAGGCTGAGTGCCTATCAGAGTGCCATAGATTTTGGGGCGCTTGGAGGCACCTTTGCAAATGTCTAGTTTTAATGTAGCACCAAGTTCACTGTTCACTTTAATGAGAAATAATATAGAGGTCCAGAGTTTGGGGAACCATCGTTCATTGGCTAAAGAGCATTTTTCTGTCAAGCAGCTTTGGGCATTGTCGGCCGATCACCTATTCACACACTGGCCTATCCACTTGCTTTACCAATCTGCCAGTTAAAAACCATTCATTAAGTAATCCTTCAACAATGCACTTTCATTTTCCTTGCTAGATGTATCTGAATCTTCAGTGTGTCATAGTCCCAACACATATCTTAGTGGTGTCTCCTTCACACACATACAGATGTCCCCCAGAATCCAATGGGTGCTGGAACAACTGGTTGATGGTGCCACAGTATACAGTTTAGATCCTTGGTCCTCAACTGGTGGGTCGTGACCCTGTTTTCAGTGGGTCACCGCATGCCAACCACCTTTGTAGGGAAGAGGCTCCACTGCCTCCCCATAGTGCAGCACTGTCAGTTCTCACACCAAGCAGCCATTTAAAATATACTGCTCGGTGCCGACTGTCAGCTTGAGGTGGGGTGGGGTGATGGGCTGGGGCTATGGCCGCAAGGGAGCTCCATCCATACGTGCATTGCTTACAGCTCCCTTGCGTACCCTGTAGAGGTGCCTGGACTGGAATGACGTCACATTCTGGCTCCTCACAACAAAGTCCAAATCCCATTCGCACTGCCACGATCTCAAAACCACAAGGTATATGTGGTGCCCAGGTGACCACACGGATGGCGCCGTGCAAAACACTAATAGTAAATAAAAGTAATTCACCGGCACACACTTGAAGGGTTTTTAAAGTATTGATATGTTTATTCAATACCCAATGTCACATACTGTCATACGTTGCATACGATGAAAGCCAACGACAGGAATGTCGCTCTGATGAAGGATCCCTGTATGGACCCGAAACGTTAGCACCGTATGACAGTATGTGACATTGGGTATTGAATAAACATATCAATACTTTAAAAACCCTTCAAGTGTGTGCCGGTGATTTACTTTTATTTACATTTTGGCTCCTGGCACCTCTATAGGGCACGCAAGGGAGCTGTACCAGCAATGCACATATGGATGGAGCTCTATCACAGCACAGCAGCCCACATTGGAACCCAGGCTGAGGATCCACTCCAGTTCTCGTAAGGTAGGGAGACTCAGTGGATCTTATGTTTGTTTTTTTTTGAGTGTGTATGTGTGTGAGATTGTGTCTGTAGTTGTGTGTGTCTGTCAGTGTTTTTAAGGGCCCATTAACACTAGTACAGTGCGTCAATTGCACAGTCAAGTGTGATTAACGCGCCTTACACGCAATCGCACCTACCGCACATTCTGATGTGGGAGGTGTGTTGCATTACCCCAAACGTACCTCCCACCCACAGTTCGAACGCCTGCACCGGAACGCATGGGGCCGCAATGCTGTGCGTTCCAGTGCGGTGTACTTGGGTCACCACTAAATGACCAAGGACAAATGTGAGTCCTGAGGTTACACAGGTTGAGAACCACTGGTTTAGAGGATATGTTGTCTGCACATCATTCTGCTTTTGAAAATAATTTTTATTCCTTTATCATGACATATAAGTCCATATAAGTGTTGGGGCCTTGCAGGGCCCCTGTATCAGGCAAAGTGTCCCTTTGTCTGATGAAAGGGCCCTGTAAGGCCCTGAAGCGTTGCATTTCTATGTCATTCTATAGAAATAAAAATGATATTCAGAATGGTGGGCAGACAACATTTCCTCTAAATACTGTTGTGCCAACACAGATACAGCATCATTTATATGTTTCTGCTTTTCTCTTGTGTGCAGAGAAGCTGGCAGCCAACAATAATGCCAATAAACGTCAGAAGCTAGCTCAAGATTTCCTGAACTCCATTGACCAGACCGGGGAGCTGCTGGCCCTGATGGAGGAAGATGAAATTGATGAAGTTAAGCAAGAACGTATGGAGGTACATTCACTTTTCTTTTTTCTAAAGTCTATAAAAATGTACCTTCTCAATGCAGATCTTCTAACCTTTTGACAGGTACCCTTCAGGTGGAACCAAGTGAGCCTGGGAAATGTGGGTCACTGGGGCTGATGTTTTCACCTCTTTGAGATTGAGATTTTAGGCTTCCCGCCTCCTTCTTAGGGCTTTGTTTATTTCATTGAGGTCTAGGGGAATACATGAATGGTAATTGTAGAATGAGGAATACCAATGTTCTAGACCATGATGATATACATTTGTGGCAGTCCTAATCACCCTCCTACCCAAATTGATCAAGCAGCTTCAGCCTCTGGTATTTGTTTATCTCCAGGGGTGCAAGTCTCAATCTTCTGGTCCCGCCTGCGTATTACAGCCCCATAGACTTCTATTGGGCTGTGTCCTGAAGCCTTTTTTTTTGGTTTGTTTATTTGTTCAGTACATGTTGTCAACAAACAAAACTTGTTTTTCCTTGGTAAACACTTTTCTAACCCATTCTTTTTGGAGCAAATGTTTTCAGTACAAGCACGTTTGTCTGCCCCAAGAGGTCTGAGCACCCAGGTCTCTGGAAGTGACACCAACTGCAGAAGACATTTAAACATTAATGGCTTTTGATGGATCTGGACTTGCCCAAAAGATTGACACATCTGTATTTGATCTGCATAGAATTAGCAGCCAAATCCATGGAGCTGTAACGCTTTACAAAGTGATACAATGCTAGAGAAAACAATTAAACTAAATATACAGTGCAGCCGCTAGTAGTAATCCAAATATACACAATATAGACCCCATGGTTACCATTTCTTCCCATTTCCTGGGGTCAGTCCCCGTTTTGAGTGGTCTGTTCCAGGGAAACAAGTGTCTCTGGACTACCCCTGTGCCATGCCACTTTATGTCACTGTATCTTGGGGGGGAAGATGTCTGTACTGTGAGGATTTGGGGGGGAAAGGGGATTTGGGGGCAGTTTGTACTGTAGGTGAATTAGGGAGAGACAGCTCTGTACTAGGAGGAATTTGGGACAGAGAGATCTGTACTGAGGGGGATTTGGGGGGGTGGGGGGGCAGAGGGGGATTTGTACTGGGAGGAGAGGGGCCATTTTTGATTCTTCTGTGCTTGCTGGCCTGTACATTATGTATTCCTATCCCCTACACACTGTGCCCACACAATCCTGAGCCTTGCTCTCTGTGTGTCACATACTCCTGATTCCTGCACACTGACCCCTGCACTTTGCATTGCACACTCCTGGCCTTTGTACTGCATTAGGCATTCCTGACACCTAATGGCACCTTTCCCTTCTGATTGGCATTTGCCATGTCTAAATAAAGAATAAAAAAAGGACAAGGGGACATCAACTGTATATGGATGAACTGCAAATATTGTTAGTACCAGAAGGGGCGTTCCCATATACAATAATAAAAGATGGTATTTTTATGCAGGGATGTAGTCTTTGGTGCTGCATTGTGTCATAAAATGTATTTTCTCCTGAGAGGCAAGCAGAACATTGGATGTACTTTGTTACACAAGAATGCATATTCCATTAGAGAAGGCAAAGGGATACCTTATAGTGGCTAACTGATACCAGCTTTTGAAACAACAGGGTTCTTCAAGTATATTTGGAGAATATATCTTTCAGTGCATCTGAAGAAGAGGTCTAGTGTTCCAAAAGCTTATATTTTTTTGATAACTTTAGTTCGCCGGGATTGGCCAGAGTTGCTTGGAGGCTTTTGTTGTGTCTTCCTTTGGATCACACATGTTGAAGTTTGGGACTGTGAAGGTTGAACGTGATAGATTTGCATGTTATTTTTCCTTCAACCTATACATTTTTTATCTAACCTTATCCCACGCAGCTTCGATAGTTATCTACACACAGAACGCTGTGGAAAGCCAATATTACTGTATGGATGTAGGATTGTAAGCTCCTCTGGAGCAGGGACCGATTTCAATGTTGCTTGAATTTATAACGTGTCTGCACTTAAAATAGTAAATCCATAAAACACGCAGGGCAGTGCTCTATATGCAAAGTATGTATCAAATTCGAATGCCGAAGAATGTCCATAAAACATTTGACAGCCCAGAAATACGCTCAGATCATTACCCGTAACTTTTCATTTATGTATCAATTACCTTGAAAGTGTGCAGTAATCTTGGTTTTGGAAGAGCGCAGATACTTTGTGTTCCACGTTGCTCGGGGCCAGAAACCGTGGCACCCTGTCCAGCACAGACAGTAAACACACACTTTTGACGTCAGCACAGCTTAAACAGGATATGTTTTTGTTGTGGTGTGGTTTCACTTACAAAGAGTTGTACTGTGTCCATGAAGAAGGGTTTTTTTCTGCAAGTAATCACAGTGATTGTTCACCACCTCATTGAGGCCACCTCTGGGCTTGCATTGACTTCATGTTCAGATTGTCCATAGGCTAAGGAACAGTCCTATGTAATCCTCGGGATTGGGCGTAGTGTTCCCCTGGTAAAAGATTTATGTTTTACTTATCCTCAATACTGTAGAGTGCTCCCTATTGGTGACATTATTATGGTATGGCGCTTGGGTTTTACCAATCACATATAGGCAGCCAGGGCTGGATTTACTCTCTGTGCTGCCCCAATGCCAGGTTCCTCAATGCGCCCCCCTGTATGCAGGCTGCATACAAGTGATCTCAGCGCCATCACCGAGATCACTTGTACAAAACAAGCGGCGGCTTCCCCACTGTACAATTAGCCCTGCTTGCCCAAAAGCAGGGCTAAATGTCGAAAACAACTGCATGTCTCGAGGATCGGGAGATAGGAATTCCACACCCCTGCTGCCCATCTACTCCCTGCTGCCCCAAGGCCGGGCCTCGGTTGTGGGAAATCCGGCCCTGTAGGCAGCTAGACCAATAAGTCCATATCAGCTGGCTGCATATGTGTAGTAAGGCATAGCTATCTTTGCCAATACCAGCTTAGCCACCACATACACATGTCCAATGCTGGATCTCTAGGCTGGCAAGGTAGAATAGTTGCATTAGCCGAGTAGCTCATGCAGTGTGCAATACCTGCTACTGTCAGGAACACTGCACACAGCAGATGGCGTCTGCGCATGCGCGCGAGCACGGCGTGACCCGCAGTGTCGGGCCGGGCCGTGCACTTTCGCGTAGACGTCCGTGCGCGTGCGCGCAGCACGTCACGTGCGCGCATCTGCGACGTGTTGTGGCGCCAAACGGGCTATTTAAACTCAGCTCCTCCATGTCTCCAGTGCTGAGTACTCTTTCAGCTTGTGCCTAGTATCCTGTGTCTGTTCCTTGGTTTATTAGTTGTTGGTTTTGACTCCGGCTTGCTCCTGACTCCGCTGACCTTCTGGTATCCTGATCCTGGCTTGTCTAGACGATTCTCCTGCTCCCTGCCTGTTCCTGCATTGCCCGCTTGTTACCAAACCCGGCCTGTGACCCGACCACGAGATTGCCTTATGCCATACAACCTCTCTGCCCGCACGTTGCTGATCCGGTCTGCCTGACTTCGTTTACTCTCTGTCTGCCTCCCTGCTGTGCGTTTATATTATCCCTCACGGCAAGAGACCGTACGAGTTACCCTCTGGTACCGAAGTCCTCATCCAGGCACTCGTGCCCCGCTGTGCCCCAGACTACCTGTCTTCTCTACCAGGCTTTCTGGGACCAGAGTTGCAAGAGAGGGGCCGCCCTCGTCATCTCAAGCTCCATCAGGTACGTGACAGCTACGCACATTGCTATGAATACACACCATAGCATCTGTGGCCAACGGCAGTGTAGTCCAATGCTCTCCAATGCTATAATTATCACCTAAGCTCCGGAGGCGCTTTATCTTCTTACTATGTATTTGAAGCTTTACTGTGGTCAGGTATATGTACATCTTAGATAGCTGTAGACAGAGGTGAAGCTTGGCATACAGAGCAATAGATACAAAACCGGCACTCACAAGGGATCTGTCCACCCAGTACTTTATTTGTAAAAAGGCAGAAATAACAGCAGCAAACAAATGCTTACATGTTTTAGCCACCAATCTGGGCCTTAGTAGTAAGCACCGAGGTACAAAAAGTGGGATTGGAGACAAGGGTAGAGCTGCTGTTTCTAAACTGCCGAAGTTTATCATACCTATGGTAAGTTTTGTAAGTTGCTCAAACCCGGAGGATGCCTTGATACAAGTATTTCAGACAGCATTTTTGTATGTGGTAGAATTCCATGCCTGCCACCAGGGCTCTTGGATTCCTTCAACCTGTTGATGGTTCAAACATCTTCAAAATGCACAGCCACAGATGTTTCACACAGCTTCACTATGAAAAACCAGACTTACCATTTGTCCTATATCGGCACTGATGAAAGAGGATGTCACACTTCCCTGTGCTATGATCCGGCGCCGGGTTTTGCCTCCTGTCCGAGGTGCTCGGCTTCCTGCCAATCCGCTCTGAACCTCAGTGTTAAATGTTCAGTTCATGATCGAGCAACGTGTCTTTACACCCAGTCGGACCCCCTGTGTATCGTTTGCCCTCGAATCCCTGCGGATTGCTACTACCTACGTTGTTCCCTGTGTGTCTCTGGATTCCCTTGTGCTCCCAGTGAGATCCTGCACATCCAGCAAGTGGATTGTTATCATCATCTCCTTCAGTGAGCCCTTGCGCCTGTGCTTATCTGCGTGTCTGTCCTTTTGTGTGGCTGCTTGTTCCACGCAGCTTCACTCTTCAGTGAATCCCGGATTGCTGGGTTGTTGCTGCCTCCTATCACACTATTGTTTGGACTTCTACCTTTGTGACCCTCAGTATCCAGAACCGCAGTCTGTGAATAGGCTTCATCCCTGCCTGCTGTTGTATCCAGCACCTCGGTTTCTAGAACCAGCCTTCTGTGGCGGGTGCAACCAGAGTCTGTGCGGGTGCGCTAGAGGCCTGCAACCTGGAAGGCCTTTCTTAGATCCTGCACCTCCAGTGCTAGCAACGTGTCTTTACACCCAGTCGGACCCCCTGTGTATCGTTTGCCCTCGAATCCCTG